CTCTATAAACACTCCAGATGCATTAGAAATGCCAAACTGCATCACCAGATATTTATAGTGCCTATATAGAGTCCTAAAAGCCCTATTCTCTAAATATCCTCCTCCTTCACCTGAATCTGATGGTAACCCGACCTTAAGTAAATTTTGCTGAAAACACGCGCACCCACCAGTTGATCCATCAAATTATCTATTCTCGAAAGTGGATACTTGTTCTTGATTGTTACTTTATTTAGCTGTCGATAATCTACACATAACCTCATACTACCATCCTTCTTCTTTACTAACAATAGCGGAGCTCCCCAAGGTGACACACTTGGTCTCATAAATTTCTTTTCCAGTAAATCTTCCAATTGTTTCTTTAACTCTGCTAATTTTGACGCCAACATCCGTTATGTTGCCATAGAAATATGTGTGGTACCAGGGACAAGATCAATAGAAAACTCCACCTCTCTTTCAGGTGACACATATGAAATATCATCCGGAAACACGTATGGAAAATCACATACTACCGAAAATTCTTTAATTGCAGCTTAACTTTCAATAGATAAAGATGCAAACAACACAAGCACTTGAGCTTCGTCCTGTAAAAGCTCTTCCAACTGCCTAGCAGATAAGAAACCAACTTCCTCTTCATCATCAGAAGCAAAAAAAACTGTACTGATTTGTTATAACAATTTATGTGAACATGGTTGAACTCCAACCAGTTCATTCCCAAGATAACATCAAGATCTCTCAGCGTCAAGCACATAAGATCAACACCGAAATATCTATAAAAAATTGACATAAGAGATTTCAAATAAACCAAAGAGGTAGTCACTGATCCCTTGGCAGGAGTATCGACAACCATCTCTCCATTCATAGAGGACACTACAAGGCCTAACCTTTCCACACAATCATCAGCAATAAACGAGTGAGTAGCAATAGTATCAATAATAGCAATCAAAGAAGTACTATTAATGTAACATATACCTCTAATTAACCTGTCATCACTGGAAGTCTGAGTCCTTGACAGAGCAAACACCTTCCCTCCGAATTGAGCTTGCTTCGGCTTCTGGCAATGCGTATTAGTATATCCTAGTTAACCATAATTATAGCAAGTCACCACATTATATTTCCAATTAGCAACCATATGTCCTGTCTTCCCACACAGGTTGATTAGAGGTTGACAGAGCAAACACCCTCCCTCCAAATTGAGCTTGCTTTGGCTTCTGGCAATGCATATTGGTATATCCAGGTTCACCATAATTATAGCAAGTCACCACATTATATTTGCAATTAGCAACCATATGTCATGTCTTCCCACACTGGAAACACTTCACATCACTCTTGCATTCACTAACATGATAACCCAGTTCACTACACCTAAAGCACTTAAGAGGAGCAGGAGCACCTCCCCTACTTGTCCTCTTACAATCCATAACCTTTTGTTTACCCTTCTCAGATGGAGCATTATAAGGCTTCCCATAGTTCAAATTTTATTTCCCTATTTTCTTGCTCAGACTCTTATAGTGAGCTGGTCGAACCTTACTGTTATCCTCATAAATCCTATCGTTGTTCACCAATTCTGGAAACCTTTTGATCTGTTGATACCCAATTTCCTGCTTGATCTTATGACGTAAACCATTCTCAAACTTAACACACTTTGAGAATTCAGCAGTTGCCTCATTATAATGAGGATAGAACTTTGCAAGTTCTACTAACTTGGAAGCATACTTTATAACAGATAGACTCCCATACTTTAGCTCTAGGAAGTCAATCTCCTTCTCCCCGTGAACATCTTCAGGAAAATACTTCCTTATAAACTCTCTTCGGAATACAACCGAAGTGATAACTTCACCTGCAGTTTCCAACCCTTGACGATTGTTGATCCACCAATCATTAGCCTCCTTAACCAGCATATGTATGCCAAAGCATACCTTCTGCGCTTCAGAATAATCCATCACACTAAAGATCCTCTCAATATCTTTGAGTAAAGCTTGCGCTTCATTTGGATCATACCTACCGTTAATAGTAAGCGGATTATTCCTCTAAAACTACCCCAGATGACGGAACTCATAGTCCCCCCCAGCATTAGGCTGATTCTGCACAGCTTGAAAAGCAACAACAATCGCAACATCGTTTCTTCTAGCCATTTTCTTTCCCACAATAATAACAACCACAATGGTCAGAATACTACATCAACAATATTCAACTGTCACACCACACCGATTCAACAACTTGGGAGGACAGACAAACCTGTTCTGATAGCACTATGTAACACCTTAACTTTCCCAGCATAATTTTAAATAAAAATCAGAGTAATTTAAAAATCACCAAAGAATTAGGATGTTACTTTTTACATCAACTAGCTCATGCAATAAGATATGTAACACATGTAAAATTTAAAACTAATAATAGTAACAATCACATCCGAACTTCAATATTATTTTAGCAGCGGAAACATCAAACCACTTATCAATTTAACAATGCAACGCACAACCATGGCATAATGTCATTATAAAAATTGTCAAACATGGAAAATACTCATAACAATTTCCATTAACATAAAATAAAGAGACAACATTCCCTCCCCCCAATGTTACATGTCAGAGCAGGCGCCGACTCAACAAAAGTATAACGAAGAGTACTCTCTTCCACTTACATCCACACCTTTATTGCGGATTATCTGCACGATGCCCATGTAAAGGCAACATTCAAACAAAAGGTGCGAAAAATCACAACCATATAAAGAAATGCATAATAATATGTAAGAACACCATCAGCATATGCATAATCACCCAATCTACAATTCAAACTTCCCACGATCCACACGTCATAATGCAACATGTATTCAAATGCAAAGAGACTCAACTCAGGACTCAATACATATGGTACCAAATATGAACCCTCAGGTTCATTCGCTCTGATCCCCACCATAGGATCAAAGCCCACCAAAATATTGTTACCATCACCATAAGTAACACTTCACCGATTTCCACCTAGAACCGGATACTATTACCCAACCCCTACCATAGGATTGAGGCTCACCAAAAAAGGAATATCTTCCAACATCATGATGCATGATTCATAATTAACATGCAACGACAACAACAACAATGCAACGTACAATAATATTGACCTTAATCATTATACCACACCAAAACTTACCACCAAACATCAAATATATACTACAAGCATTCAACAATAGCATTACAGTAGTATAGCAAGTAAAAGAACGCGATTCACAGACAATGTCACACCGCATACAATTCAACAATAACATTATAGTAGTATAGCAAGTAATAACACATCATTCGTACACAATGCCACACTGCAACATACACACCTCATACTATTCAACACCATTACGCACCATTTAAAATTTTTCTCAGGTATTGAAACTAGTTTTAAAATAATGTTCACTGCGTCAGCTTCCTAACGCTTCGAATGACACCTCAAACGGACTCCCGAAACTCAAGTTATGAATTTTTAAAGTTTGAAACAGCATGTGTAACCAGTTACGCCAAAATAGGTACCAGTTACCACTTAATAAAAAATAGTGGCTAACCCATCTCAGTGTAACCAGTTCTATCAAATCCAGTAACTAGTTACACCCCTTCAATATTGCTCAGTTACGCTACTTTTTGACAGTGTAACAGGTTACATCAATATCTATAACTGGTTACACCCTTTAAAAACCCAGTTTTTATAAAATTTGTCTCAGGTGTAACTGGTTACACCAAAAGTGGTAATCGGTTACCACTATGACATAATCAATTTTTCTGCAACTTTTTGGTACGAAAATCAGATTTTGCACCATCCCAAAACCCCAATTTTTCATAGAAATCATTCCCTCAAGATTCACCTTCTAATCCCTATCCATATACAACAACAAAAACATTTCACTAACAGACAACACATCCAACATACACCATCATGACATTATCACATATAACACAAGAATTCATGCATAAGAAAGAAATTCAATTAAGGAGAACAGATTCACCCACCCATATACTATCATACAATACTCTTATACGAATGGAAAATCCACCTTTACTTGGTAATTCCTAGCAAAAGCACTTCAAAAATGGTTTCTCTTTTCTCCTTCCTCGCCCTCCCCCTCTCTCTCTCTCTCTCTCTCTCTCTCTCTCTCTCTCTCTCTCTCTCTCTCTCTCTCTCTCTCTCTCTTAAATATTATTTAAAACTATTAATATTTAAAAGATATAAAAATCATCTAAATTAATTAAACCCTAAAACGAGGAAAAAAAATTGTATCACAACTCATTCGTCAATTCAAACGGCGAATTGATACAAAATCACACTCATTCGCCAATCCAGATGGCGATTGATCTTAACCCATTTTTCTGTTACACTCTTTCGCCATTTTAAAATTTTTTTTAAATAATTGATTATTATAGTAATTTTAATTTAATATATATAGTTATTATAAAAAAAATTCACATTATATCATTTACCAATCCATATTATTATTATTTAACAAGTACAAATGTCACTTCTACTTACTACAACTTTAGTTCTTTTGACTAAAATTTAACATCTTTTAAGTTGAAGTACAACTATATATATATATATATATATATATATATATATATATATATATATATATATATATATATATATATATATATATATATATATATATATATATATATATATATATATATATATATATATATATATATATATATATATATATATATATATATATATATATATATACCAAAATAAATACGGCAAGGTAAAAAGTATTACTAGTGATGTTGAATTGAATGGGAAAATAATGATGCAGCAGCGTGTCCTTGTTTGTGTCATTGTCACATTATACTTCCATCCTTACTCACCTGTTCTCTTTGTTCCCCCACATCCTTCCAACGCCTACATTCTTCCCAGTTTCCCTTCTTTTTCATATTAACCCCACCATTCACTCCCTCACTCACTCTTTTTTCTCTCTTGTGCTTTCAACTCTTCAAATCAACCCTTTCACTTCCCTCTTTCTAATGGATGCAAAAGCAAAACCTTCTGTAGAACCTTTGAAGTACCAGGTACTAACCAAACACACACACATTACGCATCTTGGTTCTTTTCAGCTTTTTTTTTTATTTTATTTTTTTATTATTTTTGTCATGATCTTTTCAGACGTGGTTCTTGAAAGTTTCTATCCACTGTGATGGTTGCAGAAAGAAAGTAAAGAAAGTGTTGAAGCGCATTGATGGTACTTTTCTTACTACTACTCTTACTAGCAACTGCATGTTTAAATTTTCACTTTTTGGTCAAACTTACCTTGATTTATAAAATAATAAAAGGAGAAACTTGCTCAAAATTTCAAATCTTTTTAGCTACCCTTTTTGTTTTTCACTAAGCATTCTTGTGTTTCTTTTTCCATGCATAACTATAAAGGTGTTTTCACTGCAACAATCGATTCACAACAGCAAAAAGTAACAGTTACCGGAAATGTTAGTGTTGAGACTCTCTTAAGGAAGTTGATCAGAGCTGGAAAACCCGCCGAGATTTGGCCGGAGAGTATCGATGTTAAGGGGAAAAACTCCGGCAAAGAGAAGAAGAAGAAGAATGAGAATGAAAATGAACCAAAAGAAACACAAAGCTTGCAAAACAAGGGAACTGAAAGTGCTTCCAAGTGTGAGAATGAAACCAAAAACAAGAACAAAAACTCAAAAAACAGTAACGGAGAGTTACCGGTAAAGTCTCCGGCCGGTAACAATGTTGCTCCGGTAGGTGGTGGAGGTGGTTCTGATAATAATAAGAAGAAAAAGAAAGATGGGTGCGGTGGAAATGGAACTGGAAACGGAAATGAAAACGGAAACAATGGTTTGAGCACAGTAGGTAAGAGTGGACTATCACACGCTGGATTCCAATTCCAGAATCTTGATCAAGGTATGGCCCACCAAGTGAATCTCAGCCCTACACGTCAGCAACCAATTTTTTATCCATCTGAAACATGTTACCTTCCCATGGCTTACGTGTCATCAGCTTACAATAGGTTATATCCTATGGGAAGAGTTGGCGATCCTTCTTATTATATTCCATCTCTACCCTACACGTGTCCTCCTAGCCTAGTTGATCAATATGGAACTTATCAACTTCAATCAGCACCGTCGGTTTCGTTTGAGTTTTTTAGCGATGAAAATGCTAATGGATGTTCCGTTATGTGAAGAGAATGTTGAACTTTTTTTAGGTTAGGTTTTATGGGGCTCTAGGTAGTTTTTCAATGATAGGTTGAAGGGCTGTTTTTTAAGGATATATACATTGTTCTCTCCTTTGTTTTGTAAGCCTTATAAGGGTTGTTTTTGTACTTTAGTTATCTCAAAGTTGTAGTGCTAAGGTTTTGCTAAGTCAAATAGTTTTATGGACTTAATATGACACCTTTTTGAGAAATATCTAAATTGAGTTCCAATAATACATAAATTTGTCATGTGAACATTTTGGACCAATATTTCTTGCAATCACCTATTTGACGCATTCGACATTTTGGATTTGTTTGACCTTAATCTAATTATCGGAAAAAAATGTTGTGCATTTCTTGACGTTGATTACTATTAGTAGCTTCCAAGCCTTGCATAACTAACTTTATGATAGATAGATGTATGTTGCCATTGTTGTTAAAAAGCTACCATAACTACTCTATTCTAAATTATAACTTTCTCAACAAAAAAAATCTTAAATGAAAAGTTACTTTCTATTTTTGATACAAATATCAATGATATTTTTTAATGAAGTCAATATATATATATATATATATATATATATATATATATATATATATATATATATATATATATATATATATATATATATATATATATATATATATATATATATATATATATATATATATATATATATATATATATATATATATATATATATATATATATATATATATATATATATATATATATATATATATATATATATATATATATATATATATATATATATATATATATATATATATATATATATATATATATATATATATATATATATATATATATATATATATATATATATATATATATATATATATATATATATATATATATATATATATATATATATATATATATATATATATATATATATATATATATATATATATATATATATATATATATATATATATATATATATATATATATATATATATATATATATATATATATATATATATATATATATATATATATATATATATATATATATATATATAAAAAGTACAAAAAAGTGGGGACCAAACCAAAACCTTCTTAAGATTGAATGAACCTAAAGAATGGCAGTGGAGAAATAAGTGATATCAGTCAAAGAAAAGCCTAAGTTATAGTGGAAAAATAAGTGATATCAACTAAAGATAAGCCTAAGTTATAGTGAAAAAAATAAGTGATATCAATCAAAGATAAGCCTAAGTTAGAAAGAGTATCTGCACAATTATTTTCTTTTTTATAAGTGTGAGAGACAACAAAATTTTAATTAGAAACTAAATGAAGACAATTAATCCAACGATTCTTGATTGACCAAGGAACACTATACGAAGGAGAAAAACTCTAACCACTGCAATAGAATGTGATTCTAACCAAACATTTCTCAAATTATTCTCATTAGCGAATTCAATTGCTAACATAGCACCGTGAATTCGACAATGAGAGAATTGGAGACCCCAAGAAAGGAAGCGAACGCCCCTAAAGAAGATCCAAAATGATCTTTGGCGAGACCCCCATAGGCCGATCTACCCGACGACGAAATAAAAACGCCATCACAATTCAACTTCACCCAACCTCCCAAAAGGGACTACAAATGACCTCCATAATATTAGAAATCACGCAAACTGAGATGAGATCTTACTAAAATCGCGTTACCTGTCGTGGTGACCGCCCCCATAATGAAGGCAATAGAATATGAGATAGAAGTGAAAGAGTCAGAGAATCTAACCATATAATGAGCCTTCCAAATCGAATTGAAGAAGAAAATGGTAGCCACTTTAGAAATAGTTTTTCCATGCTCAAAACCCTTCATATCCACAATCTTCCAAACATTCGTCTAATCCTTAATTAAAAAATTAAGCTCAAGAATATTTTTCAGCCAACACCAAAAAGCAGAAGCAGAAGAACATGAAAAGAATAGGTGATAATCTGATTCCTCCGCATCACGACAAAGATCAAACCTGGAAGGGAAATAAAAATTCATACGCTTCCATTGAGAATCAGCGGGAAACTTGTGATGAAAGAGTCTCCAAACCACAAAGGACTTAGACGACAATATTGATTTATTCCAAACTCATTTTCAACAGTTCTTAACATTACCATATTTCCTTTTAAAAGCATAAGCCACACTAAGAGGCAAATTGTCATTTGGAGAAAATTTCGAACATCTCTTATCTGGGTAGAGATCAAACAAAATAACAAAATATGACTGTTGCGAATCCAAACCTGAAGCAATAAAGGAATGGAAGTGATAGAATTGGAAAATTCCCATGAACCATTAACTAAGAATGTGTTGACCGGATGATCGACGACAAAGTCAGGAGCATCTTTATCAAGAAAATGTGGAGATCCACACCAACCATCAAACCATAAGCTCGCATAAGCACTGTTACCAATACACCAAGAAGAATTATCGACAACATACTGAATTTCATGTTTCGCACTAGACCAGAAT